GGCTCAGGCAGGCGCGGCAGAAGCTGTGGCCGCACTCTGCTGTCACCGGCGCATCGAACAGCTGCAAACACAGCGGGCAGGACAGCTCCTGGCGCAGGAGACCGGGCGCAGCCGACATGGCGGGCCTGGGTACAGGAGAGGTCAGTCAGGGAGACTCAGCCCAGAAATATCCCCCATCGGGGTCGTTGTCTCAATCCCAGTTCCTAAACACAAGCCCGGGTTGCAGTCTTACCCACTGTCCTTCCCTGACTTAGGCCCAGATTCTCCAAAGCTGCATGCGGACCCTCCCGCCCTCACCTCCCCAGGATCCCCAGCACTCCCCTCCCCATTATCTCCAGGCCCACAGTATCCATGGACTCACAGGTCTGGTTGGAGATCACGGGCAAAAAGAGACTCCCAGGAGGCTCAGCCACCGTGAGGCCTAACGAAGCGCAGGGGGTAAGGGTGGTGTCTGAAGACAGGTGAGAGGCAAGCGACCAGCTCAGAGCAGGGCCCGGCACTGGCACTCACGGGGCAGCTAGCAGTGGACACCGCAGCTGACCGGCAGCAGTGACTGGCAGAGGGAGCCTCCCTCGTGAGCTCTGGCCCCAGGACTATATTTAGCTGCCCTGCCTCTGCCTCCTATCATTTCTGGAAACCATTCTAAAAGTGAAGACTGAGTGGTCAGGGAACAAGCAACACATGTCAAGGCCACCTGTCCCGGCCCATCCCACTGTCCCCTCCGCTGCCCAATCTGAAGCCAGCACTCAGAGCCAACAGAACACAGGGCCTCTCCATAGGAGAGAAGAGAGAGCTGCCCTTTCTCCCCCCCCCCCCCCCCCCCACAATCTGAAGCCTCCCCCTCCCCAAGGGCGGCCCCTGCCCAGCTTGTCACTATTTCCCAAGCTGATGACTCGCTCTCACACGACAGTATTATCTCCCCCTGCAGGACAGCGCCTCGCCCCACCCTGGAAGGTTTTCTTCCTCCAGAGCTGAGGAAAGAGTCTTTTTTCTGTCTCGCCAGAGCTCAGCTCAAGCCCAAGGACAAAGCTGGCCTCCCTAAATGCTTGAAAATAAATATTCGACTGACAGTTGAATAAATGAATGAACTGAATCCAGAGCCTGCGGCCCAGAAGCAGAGTCCGCCTGGGAGCCCCAGGCCCCTCTGTATGCTGATCCTTGAAATCTCCGCTTAAATTTCATTGAAAATAAAAACCAAAGTCCCTGTGGCCTACAAGGCTCTACCCAATTAGACCCATTTGTCTCTCACCCGTCACCCCCTTGCTCACTCCAGCCAGGCCTTCGTACTTGCCATCCCTTCTTTCTGGAAAACTCTTTCAAAGGAAGATCCTTATTTTTTTTTATTTTTTAAGAACAAAACAGGCCCTGACCAGTTTTGCTCAGTGGATAGAGCATCGGCCTGCAGACTCAAGGGTCCCAGGTTCGATTCCGGTCAAGGGCATGTACCTTGGTTGCGGGCACATCCCCAGTGGGGAGTGTGCAGGAGGCAGCTGATTGATGTTTCTCTCTCATCGATGCTTCTAACTCTCTATCCCTCTCCCTTCCTCTCTGTAAAAAATCAATAAAATATATTTTTTTAAAAAAAGAACAAAACAGGTATCTTTCTATTGGACTACCTGATACAGAGGATAGTGTGGTATGGATGGATAGTATGAATGACAAATAATACAAATATATTTTATTTGAAATAAACAAATATGCTTACACAGCTCAATAGGTCACTTGGAAACAAATTCTTGCTTGACTGTATTACTGAGCAAAAACAAAGCTGAAGCACAAACACCCTTCTTTTTTGACATGTATATGCAGATAGGTAGGAAGACGCTACTTGGTTTTTAAAAAACTGACCTTCCCTTAAGGCCTGGTCATAGAAGTGTAAACAATGTAAATGAATCCACCATTTCAGTTGTCATATCATATCTATGTCACCTGTGTATTCTGAGATCACACATATACCTGCCCATAAACCTAGAAGGGTTGCTATATCACAGTTACATTTAAGTTCTTGGCAGGCAGGACTGAGGAAAAGTCATGTAGAACAAGTTTTACATCCTATTTAGAACAAATCACTAGTATTCCCTTAAATAACAGGCTACAATAGAAAGATACTGCCGGGAAGTTATCCTTTTCACTTTGGTTCATTTTTAGGTTTTGTTTGTGATTTACAGAGCTGTTTGATTTGTTTGCCTATAGTACAATCCTGCCACATGTATTAAAGCACAGATACCTATTATTTCTTCATCTTTCAACTCTGATACTCTATTACATCCCTCGTATGTCAGCAGTTCTGGGATATTAAAAAAACAATAGTGGGTAAAACTCTGCTAAAAATGCAGATGTCTACAACTATAATGGTACTAGACGGGAAGGAGACAATAAAGAAGGGAAAAAGCAAACACATTCATGTGCAGGGAAGGTGGTTCAAGTCTTTGGATTTAAAAACAACTTCCCCGGAGAAGCTGGCTCTGATGGAATTCCCAGAAAACTTCCTGTGCCCAACAAAAGGACCTGAAAAGCCCTGATCCAAACTTTTGAAAACTACAGTTACGCAATGCTCTAAGAGATGATCAAGGCAGTTGAGGGAGAGGATGGATGTGTCTTCCATTCGGCTACAGTTGGTAGCACAGCCTCTTTAGCTGTTGATGATCAGTATAAACCATGGAAGTACCAGGTGTGCTTTGAAGGACAGGGGTATAAAAGCAGTGAACATATTACCTGTCTATATCAGAAACAGGGCTTTATGGCTAGGAAAATTTTCTAAACAGTAAAATGACTCCAGGATAGATCTTTCTCTCCATCATTAAATGTGGCAGAATTAAAAAAAAAAATTTACAGGTAGATATAGTGAAAACAGAAAATTACAAGTCAGAGAACATAAAAGTATCAAGACAATGCTATAGGTTCAACAGTATTCCATGAGGCTAGAAAACCTGTTAACTTTGAAAGCCCTAGCAAAATATCTCTCTTGTTTATAAATCACTTATTTATCATACTAGAGACCTGGTGCACAAACATTTGCGCAGTCGGGGGGGGTCCCTCAGCCTGGCCTGTGCCCTCTCGCAGTCTGGGACCTCTCGGGGGATGTCCACCTGCTGGCTTAGGCTCGCTCCCCAGGGGATTGGGCCTAAGCTGGCAGTCAGACATCCCTCTGGAAGCCTGGGAGCCCTCAGGGGATGTCCACTTGCCAGCGGGGAGCAGGCCTAAGCTGCAGTCGGACATCCTTAGCACTGCTGAGGAGGCAGGAGAGGCTCCCGCCACCACCACTATGCTGGCAGCCGTCAGCCTGGCTTGTGGCTGAGCAGAGCTCCCCCTGTGGGAGTGCACTGACCACCAGGGGCAGCTCCTGCATTGAGCGTCTGTCCCCTGGTGGTCAGTGTGTGTCATAGTGACCAGTCATTCCCAGTCATTCTGCTGTTAGGGTCAATTTGCATATTACCCTTTCATTATATAGGATGACCATACATTGAAACCTTTCTTTCCATGTACTGAGGAATCTTACATTCAGCCTTTAAGCACTCTGCATTTCTTTGCCAATCTTGTAGCTGAGTATCTTGTTCCAGTCGATTTTTGTGCGGGTAACTGGAAGCTGCCGGCACAAGGCCTTGAATGTGGTGTCCGACATTGTTTGATCATTTTCACTAATTGCTGTCTGATACTCATTTTCTGCATGTTCTATGATTTTAATAAACTCCTTGGCAGTTTGTGCTTCATTCGAAACAGTTACTGAATCCTGTACGTCTTTATGACTAACCAACTGAACATTGCCATCTTCATAATAGTGTACCTGAATCTTAAGTACTCCAACCACCTGGGCTGTAGGCGGTGTGATGGTGAACTTGACTGTACCTAAGAAGAAAGAAGTGATATTTGGCTGGCTAATGCCCTCAAAGAATGGGTAAAGGAAAGCAATTAAATACTCTCATAATGAAACAGGCAGATACTTAACAGTACAGAAGCCACTGGAATAATGGTCTTTCACATAGGCCCTTAAAGCGCTGTCACAGGATTCTCTCCAAGACTTCAGATCTCCATCTACTTCCTCTGGCTGGGGGACACTTGCTTCTTTCCATAAGTGATCAAACTTAAAGGGAATTTTGCCCTAACCGGTTTGGCTCAGTGGATAGAGCGTCAGCCTGTGGACTGAAGGGTCCCGGGTTGGATTCCGGTCGGGGGCATGTGCCTTGGTTTCGGGCACATCCCCATCCTGGCCCTTGAATGCATTAGCTATGTGGTTTGGGACATGATAATCTTTATGTACCTCAGTTTCCTCTTTTGTAATATTGACATTTCTTTTGTAATTGTAATATTGAAATTGAGATATTGAAACTGAACACAGGTCTAGCTGCCTGCTGAAATAAATAAATAAATAAATAAATAAATAAATAAATTCCCCTGGGGGTGCATGAGTGATGAATTAGCAGCTATGCATACCTTCTCCTCATCCGACACCTGATCCTCGAAGTGGGCCACCTTGGTCTCTCAAAGGAAGATCTTTAGCCAATGTCACTTTTTCAGTGCAGTTTTTCCTAACTCCCTGATATTAAATCTCACGTCTCCCTTCCCTGCTTTCCTTGTCTTCATAACATTTATCACCACCTGACATGCAAAATATTTAACTTCGTTTTTCGCCCGTCTCCTCCTACCAGCATACGTGTGTTCACTGCTTGTCTCCAACTTAAAAGTAAGTGTGTGGCACCCAGCAGGTGCTCAGTACATACTCAGCAAAGAAATCAACACAGGAGCTTCTGGCCTCCCAGGCACCCCCTCTCAGCCTTTACCCGGATTTGCTCTTTTCCTCGACCGCTCTCTGTCTCTCAGAGTTTCTGTTTCTGTTTCAGTCACTTAACTTCCTCTTTGGACTCTCTCTTTGCCTCTCTCTCGGGATTTTAATATTCATGTTTATGTGTTTTACACCAAATTTGCACACAAGGTGTTCTGGATCAGAGACAGACTTCTCATTAATTACTCACAGTAAGTGGTAAATGTTTAGCCCCCTGTGCCCTGGGATGATGGGATGAGAGCCAGGTCCATTAACCTGTGAGAGTAGCCAGATACCCCATAGGTGAGCAACAAAAATTATTTTTCCTGCCCTAGCTGGTTTGGCTCAATGGATAGAGCGTCGGCCTGCAGACTGAAGGGTCCCAGGTTCAATTCCAGTCAAGGGCACATGGTCCGGGGTGTGGGCTCAATCCCTAGTTGGGGGCATGCAGGAGGCAGCCAATCAGTGATTCTCTCTCATCATTGATATTTCTATCTCTTTCTCCCTTCCTCTCTCTGAAATCAATAAAAATATATTAAAATCAATAAAAAATAACTATTTTTCCTGCTTTTTAAGGGGAAGGAGGCACCCTGGCTGGTGTGGCTCAGCTGGTTGGGCATCAGCACCTGCACCAAAAGGTTGCTGGTTTGATTCCTGGTCAGGGCACATGCCCAGGTTGTGGGCTCGAATCCCCATGTGAGTGTGAAGGAGGCAGCCAACTGATATTTCTCTCTCTCTAAAAATCCATAAATTTTTTTTAAAAAACATATTTTTATTGATTTCAGAGAGGAAGGGATATATATAGAGAGAAAGGCAGAAACATCAGTGATGACAGAGACACCTCAATTGGTTGTCTCCTGCAGGCACTGCAACCAGGGCCAGGGATCAAGCCTGCAACTGAGGCACGTGCCTTTGACCAGAACCGAACCTGGGACCCTTCAGCCTGCAGGCCAACGCTCTATCCACTGAGCCAAACCAGCTAGGGCAAAAAAAATATCTTTTTAGAGGAGGGAGGAGGCAACTGTCCCCCTCCTCTGCTTAAATGTCTAAATAAATCTCCTCAGGAGTCAGGATAGCTCCTTGCACATCTTGGCTTTTATGACAAGTCTCCGAGCTCTGGACTTGTCTCCAAGCCCTGGGGCTCATTTCTTCTGGAATGCTTGAAGATCTTGCTTGGTGCACGCTGGCCTGATTAGGAAGCTACTCCAGGCTGCCTGGCACCTTGGGGCTTAGCCTAGGAACTTTGTTAAGCTGTAATCACTTGGGCCCCTCAGGAAGAGATAAGAGTTTTACTATTTTTTTGAATGGGAGCAATTACCTGAACAAATGACTCCAGACTGAATCTCCTGATATGTGAGCAGTCTCAGGGAGCTAAGGCTTTCTCCCAGGATCCAGAGAAGTCTGATTTCCCCACTGGATCTCTAAGTCTCTGGTTGTCTCTCTGCCACTTTTGATGGCTCGGACTTGGCCTGGGGTTGGCAAACAGGAGGGCAGTAAAGGTAAGAGCATACCTGGAGCTGGACTCTGAAACCACAAGCCACTTCACTTTGGCTCAGAAAGTCAACATCCCGAAGGTAGGCCTCACCTGGAGTTTTCATCCCTGCCAGGCTGGGGCTGAAAGAGTGGGAACCCAGGACAGGGAGGAGACCGTCAACTCATTCCCTTTCTGTAGATGAGCCTGGTCTGACCTCTGACCATGGGAAGGGACATGGATTGTCTACAACAGATTGGAGGACGAGAAGGGGCCAGGGATCATGTCTAGCGGAGGAGAGGAGGACAAGTGTCGCTGACCCTAAGACAGGGCTGGGGCCCAGAGCTCCGAGGCTGCAGGTGTTAGGTTGTCCTAAGGGAGAGCATCCCAAGAGCTGGAGTGGCAAGTGCAGCGGGAGATGAGAGCCCCTTGTATTGGATACATGCAAAGGAAGCCAGAACTCCCCAAGCAGGACCGCTGCAGAAGCACGTCCTGAATGCTGACACCACGAGCTCAGGAAAATCGCCTCCCTCTCTGGGCTGCAGCATCTTCAGCTACAATATAAGGATAAGGACGATAAGAACACCAGCCCTGTAGCCTTGTCATGGGGATTAAACTAGACAATATAAGTAAACACCAGGTGGGGGTGCTGGCACCAAAGGGTTTAGGAAGGGCTAGGTTAAAACTTGACTCTGCTCTTTCCTTGTTGTGTGACCTTGGGCAAGTTATTTAACATGATTTACTCACCTGTAAAATGAGGGTTATTTAAGGATCAGAGCATTGGATTGTTATGAAGATTCAACAAGCTAATTCATGTAAAGCACTTAGAACAATGCCAGGCCCATAGAAAATGTTCACTAAATGTTGGCAATTGATATCATTACAATTATTATTATAGAAAATGTTCACTAAATGTTGGCAATTGATATCATTACAATTATTATTACTAATTATTCCAATGAATCTTCCCTGCATCATCCCCAAATTGAGGAACTGAGGCTCAGAAACTTCAATAATGACAAAGGCACCTACTATGTGTCAGGCCTGTTCCAAGCACTTCACAATTCTTAATCCATTTATAAGCTCCTAAATCCAGTTGTAACCTTATAATAACCTCATCATTATTCCTATCTGACAGGGAGGCCATGAGGCACAAAGAGATTAAGTGACTTGCCCAATTCCTGGAAGTCTATGGGCCCTCTGGACCCAGAAGGCCCAATCTGGCTCCAGCAATCAAAGGATTACTTTGTTGGGTGGAGGGTCACACCCAGGAACCAACTTACCACCAACTGCTCTGGCTCTAATCCAGGGGGCAAGGGTGGGCCAAGAGGTAAGACTAGGAGGTTCTTTTCTGCCAGGGGTCAAAGCTCAGAGCTCTGAGACTTCCCCCAGAAAAGGGGGTCAAGGCAGAAGTGATTACCATGGATTCCCAGAGGGCTGCCCAAGCCCCCTATTCCCCACCCTCCCAGGGCAAACCAACTGGCAGTCTCCAGGAATGAGCAGGCTCTACCTCTACCTCTACCTCCCTGGGGGACCCTGGGCAACTTACAGTCCTTTTCAATGAGGTGAGCCTATTCATGAAACAGCATGCAGAGCCCAGAGAGGGGCTGTGACCTCCCTACGTCACACAGCTAAGAGGCAGAGGGCCTGGGAATCAAATGTGAGTGGGTCTGACACCCCTTCTCTCCTGCTTGTCCCACTGTTCCGCAGTCTTCGAAGAGGAGGAAGTTACTGTTAGCATTACTGTTACTGCAATGCCTGCCCTCCGGAGCGTGTTTGTGGACAGTCTGGAGGAGGCATAAATTCCCTTATACATAACTCTCCAAGCAAGTTGTCAATTTTTGAGGACAGACATGGAACTTTAAAATGGTGGTTGGCATCTGGGCCTAGGAGTCAGATGGACATGGGTTCAACCTGTTTTCTCAGGTGTTACCAGCGTAGGCTTCCAGGGTAATTTCTGAAAAACCTCAGTTTTCTCCTCTGGAAGGTGGGCTAAATACACATGCCTCATAGGGCTATTGGGAGAATTCAATGAGATTATGAATGTTACGTGCTTAGCACGGTGCCCGGAACATAGTACATTAAAGAAATGAAAGCTGTTGTCACTATTATTTGTCTTTCACCAGCACTTATCATGGGGTTGGGCATCTAGTAGATCCTTAATACCTGTTCTTAGAATAACATAGATTCTTCCCAAACCTGGGTCCTCCAGAGTTCAGTGTCTACAATGTTCTCCTAGAGCACAGGCACCTATCAAGCAGCACCACTTGCTCCCACTGAGTTCCAGCCTGAAACCACTGCAGGAGTGAGGCTTCCAGTTCTAGGAGAGGAACGGCTGTGTGTCCCGGGCCCCTTGTCCCTTTGCCTCCTTGCGACATCTCACCAAAGTGCTGGCACTTGCTCTGAGGAGATGTCAGGTGAAAACCACAGCAGGTTCTCCTGTGTATGAGCAGGAAGGTGACTGGGCTTGGATGCCAGGGGCAAGCTGGGCCCAAAAAGAAGGCTCCTGGGTGGTGATATGCAGGGATAAGGGAAGAGGCACAGTGTCCCTTATCTAATCTTAAGGGTCGGGACTCATGAAACTCACATTCTGATGAATTGAGATGAATGCCAGATAAATAAACAAACAAATGGATGTGCAACATGTCAGGATCACATCACTAGAAGGAATGGTGATTGTTACAGCGCCGTTGAAAGGGATAAATGGAGTCCCAGTACCCGACTAGGAACAAGAGCCAGAATTCCAACTGGGGACCGCACGGCTTCAAGGCCACAGTCCTTCAGCTCCTGGGAGCTGCGAGGCACCCCTTCCAGTTACTGGTACCCTCCCTTGAGCCATAGAGCCATTCACTCATTGTTGATTCCACGAAGATTTATTGAGCACTTACTACCGGCCAGGAACGGTTCTGGATGCTGTAGCTGTAACAGTGATGTGGACAGGCATGATGTGAGGCTAGGAAGACTGGTACTAAACACACACACTGAGTTAGTGCAATGCAGCCACAATTGCTATGAGAGCTACAGGTAAGGAGCAGGTGTTATGAACTACTCTGGGAGGCATTCTAAACCTGGTCTCCCTGAGAAGGTGACATTTAACTTGAGACCTAAAGTCTCAAGAGCTTATCAGGCAATGAGTGAGGGAACAGATTTCAGGTTGAGGGAGCAGCATGTGCAAAGACTGAAAAGCAGCAGAGGCGCCTGGCACATCTGAGGAACTGAGAGGCCAGTGTGGTTGGAACTGAGCTGGAAGGAGAACAGGATGTGGTGCAAGACAAGGCTGTGAGACCCACAGGGCCAGACCAACCGCGCCTTCCCAGCCGTGTGAAGAGCAAGCGAAGGATTCTGGGCACAGCTTGGCCTCCAATCCCCAAGCTTTCACCTGCTCACCTGGGGCAAACCACCCAGAGTGACTCCCACCCATGGCTTTCCCTCCAGTCCAGAATTTTCTCAACTATTACAAGTGTCTCTTGTCATCGCGTCCCCAGAACCTCGGCTCCTGGGACCAAATCCTGGCTCTCCCAGGAAGTCCTGACAAGGTTTCAGGAGCCACTGGGTAGCCCCGGTCATGCTGGAATATTTACTAAGTGGATAAGCGGGTGTTATCTCCATTTTACAGGTGAGGAAACGGAGGCTGAGAGATAAAGTACACACAGCTATTCTCCTCCCTTTTTTTAATACCTCATTTCCCCCCAGTATGTGGAATTGGGAGCTACAAGGTTCTGGCTGTTAGGATTCTGATTCTAACATCCTCTGGCATGTGAGAGAGGATGCTAAGGTTCAGGGGAAGGGGGAGATGTCGGGGCTTCTGAATTTCAAGATTCTAAGCCTTGGCACGCCAGTAAACTGGGTTCCTGGTCCGTGCCAGCTAGTGCAAGCCTGGAGTCGCGGGCACCACCCATGAGCGCCTCCCTCTCCCGTCTGGTCTCCCGTGTCCCACCTGGCGGACCAGCTGGAGGATCGGTTCCTGGCGCCCCCTCTCCATGGCCAAGGGACTGGCACCGGAGGCCTTGGGAGTGGAGGCGGCGGGAGAAGGGACACAGGGCTAGTCTGGGATGACCTAACTCCCACCCCAGGGCAACGGGCTGGGGCAGAGGCGGTGTCGGAGAAGGCGGGAAGCTGCAGGTCCCGCCCCAGAGGAGACTTCCTGGTGGGCGGATACCCCGGTGAGCTGCAGCCGCGGCGGCGGGGGACCCCGGCGCCATGGCGGGCACGCGGGACGCCATCCTGGATGCGCTGGAGGAGCTGACCGCTGATGAGCTCAAGAAGTTCAAGATGAAGCTGCTCTCCGTGCCCCTGCGCGACGGCTACGGGCGCATCCCGCGGGGGGCACTACTGCCCATGGACGCCGTGGACCTGGCCGACAAGCTCGTCAGCTGCTACCTGGAGGCCTGGGC